AGCACAAGGTGGAATATAAAAAATATGCTTTATTTCTACCAGTCTTTAATACTCGAACAAGCAATTGATCACATACATATTAATATATCTGATTAGCTTAAAACAAGAACCACTGTCCCTTAGATGAAGTTACTTATTTTGTTAAATTTATATCCCACACTCCTTCAGGAATTCAGGCAGTGCATATACCATTTTTTCATTTTTTTTCTCCATTAACCTTGTGATTGGACTGAGACAGAGTAAATGGCCCAAAATCAGGTAACCACTACTTTTTCTCACATTGCAATCCTTTTATCAAATCTTGTACTAGCCATAACTGAAAATTTCTTCAACTGAAAGCCATTTACACAAGATTTCCTAAAACTGGCATGTTACGTATTTTCTCTTATGCCTAGATTTTCAAAACTGAATGTAGTTTTCATTATTCTGTAAACTAAGTACTGATTGCAACAACAGAAATCCATCTTCTGAGGTAAAAATTTAACTCAATTTTTTTTCTTTGCAAACCTAGAGTTTTTTTTACTAGTGAAAAAATCCTGTTTTAACTAGATGAAACAGGTTGCAACTTCCTACTTCCTTCCCTTGACACTTTAAAATGATAAAAACTCAGCAAATTGCAATTTCACATGCAGTTTATCTTTTGAGTAAACATCAACAAGATTACACTTCAAATGTCTATACAATATAACTCAACTTTCTGAGTTATATATAATTGTTAAAAGTAGCGTGTGTAGTATCTGAGGGCTCAGGAACTACAACACTCTAGCTGAAGTCAACTAATGATCCTGTGATATCACCAGATAGGACACAATTGTTTCTGAACTTCTTTTGGTTTTAGGGAAACTTTAAAGTACATATGAGAGCAGATCTCTCAAAGGCAAACTTGTCTTGATTCTCTATCAACCTCTCCAAAAATTAAGCTATTTGGCCAATGAATTCCTCCAGAAGAATTTTGATAGGTGCAAGTGACCTGTAGGATGTCTATTCTTAACCTAAAGGAATAAGAAAGCAAGTTTTCCCCCCAAAAAATCTGTGAAGTTTCTTTTATGAGGATTTATTATGTGTAAAGCATGGGAACATCAATATATATCTAGTAATAGCATAATATATGAAACATGCATTATCCCAAACAGAATCATGAGATTACATTTCTACACCAGGAACTTGTGATTTTGAGGTGTCTCTCATCATATGCTCTCATACCTACATTTCCATGTTGGTTGCATAACACAGTGGGATTATTTCAAGAGTTCATCTTAATTTTATTATTGAACAGCAATGGTAAATCAGTAATCAGTTGTCCCGCAAATTCTTGGATTTGAAACCAATTCATAATACATAGATGCAAAATCAATATGTAATTTTTATCTTGCTTACTTCCTTTTATTTAAAGTTTATTACTACATGCAAACCCAGTTTATAAACTGAGATTATTTCTTATTTATACCAAAAGAAACCAATAAATCCTCCAAAGGTTTCTATGGAAAGAAAAACAAAAAAATTATAGAATAATATATTTTAACTTTTTAAAATTTCTTTTAGCATCAGGAAGCAATTTCATCTTTTACTATTATAGTTGATGCAAACAAATATAATTTTAATATTTTTACTGGAAAACAATGAATATAAATTAAAATTAAGAAAATAATGTAAATTGTTCCTTTAAACTTTACATTGTAAGTCTGCAGCATTTACCATGGAATTTTGATGGCATAATCTGAACAGATTAATAAAGTATATCTTTATTTTTTGTACAGAGAACCACAAATACTACCAACTTCAATTGAAGCCATACAGGATTACACAAATATCCATCAAAATATTTCATCCCCCATTTTACAGAACCTTGAATATTTATATTTATCGTTAAAATGCTGAATGGTACTGGCCAGCATTGCTGGCAAGGCATAACAGTCCAGATAGGACATAGATTTTTTTTAAAAAAACACACACACAATATAAATGAGCAGATAACTAAGAGAACATCTTTTAATATATAAATGTAGGGCAATGTAGACAAAATTGTCTTTTTAGCGCTATCATGATGGGGCTCAGACTCTTAAAAGAATGGAAGCCACAGTGCAACTTCATTATTCACTAACTTATATAACATTTAATCAACAGGAAATATCAGTATACATACAAACACACACATCCTGATTTTAAAAATCCTTTTGTAGGGAACAAGATTTAAAACTATACCTTTTTCTAACTTGCTAAAAATATGCTTCTGAAACATTTTTTTGTAACTTCAGTTCTGAAAGGTTTATTCTTTTTAGAATAAATCCTCTTATTTGGAATGTTTGCTTGATGGATTCACTTGATTTCCCCTCCTCTTGTTTTTTTTACCCATTCTTATTTGTTCTGTCCCCCCCAAACCTCTCTCTAATTCTATCCACTTCAATCTTTTCAGAGGGAGACAACCCCGCCCCTAACCTCCAAACATTTCTTAACATTCTTGAGTTCTTAAAACATCTGAGGTTGTTTTAATTAACTCTTTCCTTCACTAACAGAATTTTGCTGCTTTTTAAAGAGACAAAATTGCAAATTTTCTCCAACTTATTTTTCTTTCAATAAATGTTCAACTGAAAACACTAACACAAATAATCTTTTTTCCCTAAATCTATACATATTTAAGTGGCAAATTAAAGCACACTTTCTTGAAAGAAGTTCTTTTCAATCAATGCAACTTTTACAATTTGTAAGATTTATTACAATTATCATTATGCAAAAGTGATTTCTAAAGCAAAATATTTACCTCAAAAAGCATTTGTTAATTATGCTGGATGTATGATCTCAAACTTGTTTTTTTTTGTATGGATGGCATACAAATTTTAAAAATAAGTAAAATCAAATTGTATTTTTCAAGTGCCAATTCAGTAAAATTAAGAAAGGTTTTTGAAACAACTTTCAATACTGGTGAAGATAAATTTTAAGATATGTATTAAATGCTTTTTTTTACACTTTTTGCATTCTGATTTAATAAATATGTAAGCTAAGCAAAACTACCGTATCCTCCTTAGACAACCTGAATTTCTCATTGTCTAATTCAGTCTTCTCCAACCTGCACTTTCTAGTCATAGTGAACGAAAACTCTCTGTCTGCATGAATCATACCAGAAGGGGATTCTGGGAACTACAATTCAATGCATCTGGAAACAGTTTGAACAAGGCTGAAGAATGTGGATCAGTTTCTTTTTTTTTAATGAAAGAAGCAGAGTGTGATTTATTTTATTTTGATAACTTGAAACATATAGAGAGCTATAGGTATTTCTTTCTAAAGTACTGGCAATATTTATAAGTTTCGATAAGTGGTGGAAAACATCTCACTAGCTACATTATTATTAAGACTATTACAAACATTCTGAATTAACTAGTTCCTCTTCTGATTATCATTCCAAACAGGAAAATCAAGTCCCAAGACAAGTTGAAAAGACACACATATTTGAAACTTAACCCAGCAATACAGAAGAATCAACTATCTATTTTTATAATAATTAAATATAAATTTTCTTGGAAAAAATCATTACATTAACTTCATTACGATATTTGAATACAAGGTTCAAAATATATCAGGGAAATCTATCAATAAAATATTAGCATATACTAAATGATATGATCTAAAATTTTGGGAAGATTTTAAAATCTTGAACCCAGCCAATGAGAAGAATGTGGTAATATTAATCTGGGAAATTATTTGATTTTTTTAAATTATCTTTTATATCTATAAGCATTGAAGGCAATTCACTAAGTAGATAATTTTGCAATTGATTTAATTTGCATACATTGGCTGATTTCAGCATTATGTAAGAATCAATCACCTTTCAGAATCTTCTATAATCTATACAAATGATTTTTTAAAAATCATTGAAGAATAAAAGTTCCTTTTCTTCCTACTCCTCCAGCTACCAATCCCCCCATAATATTTCTTAAGTTTTTTTCACTGTGTAATTGGCTTCCTGAATACATTTCTCTTAGGCACCCTGTAACACCATACATACTATATATTAACCTACAAAGACTGTTTACAAACATTACTGTTCATCCATTATACAAAATCCATACTATTGGTCCAATAAATTAATCAAACAGATTTTGGGACTCTTGCAAATGTTTCAGAAAATCTGATATTTATTTATTTCAGCAATACATTCTACATAAGGTTTGGAAGTCCAAGAAGTATGAGAATCAGTGTGAATACAAGAGCAGGAAATTGTGATGTCAATCATGCACAAAAATAATCTTTTGAATTATATGAACAGGCAGCTAAACTACCCTTCTCTCCCATTAGATTCTTCTAAAAAAAAGAATCACAATTTCTAATATAAATACACTTTGGACATTTTATGTTCACTTTCTAGGATTTATATGACTAAGGATTGATTGCAACTTTTTTCTGAAGGAAAAAGCTGTTTGCTAGAAGATATTTAGTGAAAGCTTCCACTAATAAACCTAGATAAAGCTAGAAAAGCAATATAATGAACAAAAGATCAAAAATGAATAAAATGAAATAACAAAAAAACATACACAAAAATACAAAATATTTACAAAAATAAGTAGAAAGCAAGTATTTTTACATCCAGAAATTGGGCCAAAATTTTTCTAATTTCTTCAATTTTAACAAGAATTTAAAACTAAACAGCTTCATTAAAAAAACATAGCATAAGGAAGTCATGTCATGCTGAAATTGATATAAATATTGCAATTTAAGCCAAAATACCATACCTTTAGTGTTGATAAAGAGTAATAATATCTATCTAAATTTAATTGTTTCTTTAATGCATCCAAAGTAATTTGGGGTGAAAAGAAATAAACAAGCAGTTTAAGAAAGGCTTTTAAAAATGTTTTTCAAGTAATTTTGTTTTGGAGTGGAAAACAAAAATGTAAATATTTTCTTGCAACGTAGCTTTGTTTATGCCATCTTAGCATTTTAAGCACATTTTATCTTCTCTGTCACATTTCAACATAGATAAATTCAAAGAAAACAAACAACTGGATTACCTTTGTTTTTTAGGGACTGAGTGTTCAATCTCGAGTTGTTTCCCATGCAACTCCACTTTGCCTAAAAACACAAGTTTGCTTTTTTTTAAAAAAATGTACACTGAAAAAAAGTAAAAGGTGGATATCAATGGGTCACATATAACTCAACTTCTACTCCTCCTACTTTTCATGTTTTAATTCAACTAAGGGGGAGATTCAGGTGCATTTTACTATAAAAACTCCTGCTTGATATTCTTATCTTTCTACTCTTAATTTAAAAAAATTAAATGGATTTCAAATGGAGAATATATGATAAAAAAACCAAACACATTTTATTCCAAGGGTAACAATTTAACTCATTTTCATATACACTTTACAAGATCTGCTTTACCAGAGAATGGAGAGGAAAAAACAGGAATTGTAAGGCCTATTCCAATGTCCAACTTGCTTGGCTATCAAGATAATTCATATCATCTTTTCATTTTTTTAAAAGAAGATAAATTAAAACATTCAGTTGAGAAGAAAGTGACATTAAAAAGGGCCAGAACTCTGATGTGGTATTTTAAATAGGGAACAAAACATCTGGTCTCAGCAAAAGTCAACATTAGATTTGCTCTGCTAGTTCCGTCTGCTTCTCTTGTCTCAAATCTCTAAACAGCATGGCGACCTTCAGGCTAATACACCCATCACATGCCCCAGGAAACCCCTGTTTAAATCAAAATGGCCAAAGTCCAACACCTCCCCTCTTTTTCCACACTTCCCACCCTGAAGTACCACACACGCTTAACATGCAAAAATACAACACTGGATTGCTTGATAAATCCCAAATGGCATTGAAAGAACGTGGAGTGGGGCAGCATTGATCCCAGAGAAGATATAAAAGTGATGGAGAGTTTTGTTTATTTAAGAGATGACTAATTTGTAGGGGAGAAATGGGGGGGGGGGGCTTTCTGAAGAGGGAAAAAAATCACCCATTCCCCTACACAGATACATGGAATATTAATTCATGGTTTGCCAAACGAAATTTTGTTTATAGGAAAGGCCTGATTTATGTAATATCCTAGTAGTAGAAGAAGAATAAGGGTACTTTATTAAGTGAGGAGGACATTTTGGCTGGATAATAAAAACAAGAGCCCTCTAGAAAGCCTATGGAAGTTGATAGGAGATTCTAGGCCCAACAAGTTAAAATACTCGCCACCTAGTTCAATACGCAAGGAGAAAAGTGGGAGGGGGGAAACGAAGGGGTGCCCCCCTCCCGTGGATGAGAGAAAAATACGAAACGAAAGTAACTTTCATTGATGACTACAGAGAGCTAAAGAAAGAAAGGGCGGAAGCGCGAGTACGAGCAAAGTGTGGCTGCCTGGTCGCATCCTTTGTACACCACGTTTTACGAGTCTTTGCACACACAAAAAGAACCGGCCCGGTAGTATTTGCGGTTCTGAGTGGCAGTATCCGTTTTATAAAATTACGCGGGTTTTCTCCTTTTTTGAAAAACAATTGTTCATTCCAAAATCTCAAAGGTTTCCAAAGGAAAGGGAGAAAAAAGAGATGAAAAAGACAGAACGAGCGAGCGATAAATCCATTGGCTTACCAGAAAAAGTTTCGATGGCTTTCATAGCCCATTGCTCATCTGGGCAGTCGACAAAGGCGTAGCCAGACTTCACCAAGAACTGGCCAGAGAAGGATATTTTGTGGTCGTTGAAGACTTTCTCCAGATCCGCCGGAGTCACGTTCTCGTTGAGGTTTCCAATATACAGCTTGTTCATGGCTGATGCCTTTTGCACAAAATGTTGGGTAGGTCCAAAACGGGAGTGAGTCACGGGAGGTGGGAGGGAAAAGAAGAAAATAACTCACATACACCGGGTGGAGAGAGAGGGGAGACGACTAGGCTTTTCGAAACTTTTAACAATTGCTTTATATTTTAAAAGTTTCTTATTCTTTGTTGGGGGGCTAGCAAAGTAAGAAAAACCGGCTATTTCGGTTGTGGGAAGGAAAGGGGGAGGGGGATAATCTAAGAGGAAAGAAGGGGGAATGTTCCCTGTTTTGCAGAATCAATGGGGCCGGTTGACTTGGATGCAAGTTCGTACGGCGGGCTTGGGAAAATGGCTTTTTTTTCCAGTGGCCCCCCAACTCCTTTTGAGTCGCAACTCATGTGTGTCGCACACGCGCGCGCACACACACATACACGCACACCGAGAGAAAGGCAAAGGACGTCTCCGACTGCGAGGCAGGACTTAGCGCCGCCCCTAAATAAAATAGACCTGGAAAAATGAGTGAAAATGTTTGCAAGAGGAAGCCACGTGGTGGAGCCAAAAAGGGGCGGGGCACCCTTTTTACACATAGAATGACTCCTGTTCCGAAGCATGTTATCTTTTCTCAACATTACTGAGTTTTTTTATTTACAGTTTCCGTCGGTTTTCCTGCGAAGAGAAATTTTTCCGCTTTTTCCAATCGAGCGCAATTATTCAGCCAAGCGCAGCTATAGGACGCCAATTCCTGGTTTCCTCTCCCTGCCAGGAGGGCCATAGCCCAGCCTCCATCGCAGACCCCCTCCTCCTGTTTTCCTGGCCTGCTCTCCCACCCTCCCCCCAAGCTTCTTTGAATGAGATTTTCTGGGTGTAAACTTAATCGGAGTTCTGCTTCCCTAGAAAGGAAAGACAGCGAAGGGGGTGGAAGGTGACGCTCAGTGTGTGGGCGCACCAGACCTGGACTTTCAGATGCTGTTTTTCAGGCTTTGGATCACGTTAGTGAGATGGAATTTTAAAAAGTCGGGATTAGCCAGATACTATGGTGGGAATGGGTGACGCGGGACAAAGGGGTATGTGAGTTCGAACACAATATGAACCTTCTTTATCGATGTAAATTAAATCTTCAAGAACTAAAACCAGTATACTTGGAACTTGCGGTACCGGAGAAAAGAGCTTGAGTGCCCGAAAACGCATTAGCTTCCAAGTTGATCTTTATTTACGCGTGCCACCACTTTAGTGTTGATCACAAGGAAAGGTGGAAAAGCGTTTCCACTTTTGGATAGTTGCAAATGCCTATACAGTTTCTGTGCGAAAGCAAGAACAAGAGTGTGTCTGGAAGTTATTTCTGTACCGGCACGCCACGGTGTTCCTTTGCGACGACCAGGCGATTTCTTAAAACCGGTTCCCCCTTTATAATCAAGGGCTCGTGGGCTCCCTTTTAGACTCAAATACCGAAGCTTAAAATGGGAGAAGAGATGGATTTTAAAAAAAACCTACTCTCACCGGAATGAATGGGGGGGAAAACCTCACTAGACTCGCCCTATACCTTGTTCCTTATAAGTGTCTTGCTTTTCCGCACCTTAAATTTGTAGGGCGAGATGGCTGATTGGTTGGTTTCTTACTTCATCAACTCTTCATCCTCGACCTAACAATACAAATGCTTTAAAAGGAAGTGGAGGAATGACAAGAAAGGGGCACGGGCTTCTGAGATAGGCGCGCAAACATTCGCTTGATTTCCCCGAATGGACATTTGTAAAAAAAAAAAAAAATCTTTAAAATAATTATATATTTCTCCACCAACCAAAAGGGCGGCGAGGGAAGCCGCTTCCGCTTAACCCTTGTGTCGCGCGAGGCAACATGTGCACCTTATCTCCCCCACCCCATCCCCTTCAAGCGGCCATCCATATGCCTTCTTGGGGGGGGGGGGCAAGTCCAATTATTGAAAAAGGCGCTTTGGTTGGCACAGAAAGGAGAGGGAGAGCCGTCTTACTGATCCGCGAGACGGAGAGAAGAAAATGTCTCGCGCGCCTAAAACATTTTTGAATTCAGCTTTGGATCTATCCTCCAGTCGGAGCGCACTCCTGTCCCAATTTTGTGCAATGGTCCAAGAGCTTTTAAAAGACCGCTGTTTAGCATTGCGGCACAACAACTTACGAAGAAAGTCCCGTGAATTCATTAGGGCTTTCTTATCCTTACGCAGGTAGAAAAATCGCGCGGCTTTCTTCGCATCCTACTTTGGCGAGCTGAAGGAAGCCTACAACATCCAGGCAGAACAAGGACGCTTTTCTGAATAGGGAGCCGGGGACAAAGGGGAAGATGGTGGATGCAACCCTCCTAGCCGCTACCCCACCCCACCCCCCAGCCTCACTTTTAATGCTCTTCCATCTTCCCAAGGAGGAGGGGATGGAATGAAAGGATTTAGTCACGGCAATAGCTAAGTTGCCTCTGAAGAGACGCCAACTGTCCCTCAGCAACGTGGGTGCCTGCCATTATCAAGCAGAGATGGAAATCTTTAAAGCATGCCAGTCACAACCCACCAATCTAGAGACTGGCAGGGGGAGGGGCGGGAAAGGGAAATGGCAAGGGGGGGATGGGGAGCTTGCATCGTCGGAATGTGCTGGCCCTTTATTTAAATGGCTGCTGTGCGAGCGTCAGCGTGCATGCTCTCTTCCATAAACCGGCTAGAGTAAAACTTTCATTTGGATTTTTGATTTGCACAGGGCTTATGAATGGAAGATTTGAGTCCTTGTAGTGAACTCGCAATGAGGTTGCCAAAGGTTGTTTTGTTTTGTTTAAAAGCAAAACATGACTTGAACCAAAAACCCCATTACAACTATTGAGGGTGAAAGGTGGGCAGGAGAGATCGATTTTCTAATTGAACTAGAAATTTGATCTACAGAGAACAGCAGTCTTGAAATTCCGTTCTGCTTTTAGAAATGCGAAATAGGGCTCCTAAAATGGTAGCGATCTGGGGCTTTGATCTTTTTAAGTCTTCCGGAGAGATTGGATGAATAAAATTCATAGTAATAGGGATCTAGACAGAGATAATCCTTAAACGTTTTTTTTTACGTTAAAGTTCTACAAATTAATTCGAACTTCTTTGTAAATGAGAATGCAACTTAATAATAACTTGGTTACTTAAAAAAGATCCTACAATTATTAAACTATTTTTATAGAATTCCCCCTAAAATTATATCCTAAATTTCACTTCAGAAATATCAAATCATGCAAAAACTAACAAATGCTTACATAAATATTTAAAACCTAGCAACTTCTTTAAAAAGTAGTGTGGAGATAGTTTAAAATTATTTTCATTTGTACACATATATTTGAATATCATCTTTGAATCGATTTCCCAAACCAATTTATCCTCTCAGTAAAGATATTAAAATAATTTCCCTGACACATTGTTTCTTTCCTTGAGGTATAGTTGCTTGCAGTTAAAGAGAACTTTTATCTGAATGCTTTTTGGTCTTTCAGATTGAATAATCAAGGTGTCTTGAATAACTTGTGAACTTGAGATCTTTTAAAACACCAGATTTTAAACATATGCCTGCAAAAATAGCACATCTAACTTTTGCAATTTCAATGACTTATTTATAGATGATAATACTGAATTTAATTTTTTCCTAATATAATTGTTTTGACTTTAAAATATGTATCTACATTGTGTTTTATAAACATGACAATACTTTTATTATGAAGTTAGTAAACAGATTTAAAGTTATTAATTTTGTTTTGTTTTCCTGTGTAGTCCTCTGTAACTAATTCCATCTCTCTCTCTCAGTCTCCCTCCTTCTCTCCCTGCCTCACCCTCTCTCTCCCTTTGTGTGAGAGAGGGGGGAGAGAGGGGGAGAAAGAGAGAAGGAGAGCAACTGGAAATGTTACCTAGGTCCCAACACATTTATTAGTCTTTAAAATGCCAAGAGGCTTTGCTCCTTTTCTGACTGAAAATGTTAGTCTTGAGTGAAAAGGATTCAGTAGATGCATACTGATATAGTATTCAGTAGATACAGCTAAATAATTAAACTACAAGAACTTGCAAAATCATTTTTAAGAATGGGGAAATCTGCCTCTACTCAGTTGTTGCAAAAAGAACTAATAATAATTTAACATTTGATGATTACATTTTATTAAGAGTTTTTTCTTTTCCCTTCTTAAAATTAGAATATTGCCTCTAACTTCAGAATATTGCAGAATTAACTTCTCTATTGTCTTCATTTCATTTTTTCTTTTTTTCTATTATATTTCCTTTAACTTATATTATTACATTCAAAGCCCCTTGGGATAAGTGATACTTCATTTGAATAAGAAAGTTAAATTGAAAACATAAAATGTTTTTTCAATTGAAATTCTCATTTATCTGATTTTCCTCTAATTATTAACAGCCCAATGTAACTTATTTTTCTGGAAATTTATTATTTGTTTTATTAATAAAGCAAATCATTTTCATTTCCTTTAATCTGTATTGTTAGGCTTTCTCATAAGTGATATAAATTTGATAAAAAATAATCTTTTAAAACCTTTTTAATTTTTCTTCTTTATAATCTCAATAAGCCATTAGTTGTGTTTGGCAGATTTGCATCAAATATGTACGAAAATCAGTTATTTTTTGTATATATCAGACACATTTAATGTATTTGTATATTAAAATTCATTGTATACCATTGAAATTGACAATTATTTTTATCAAACTTATATTTCAGTTAGTTCTTTTTTAAGCTGAAAACTCAATACCTGCTAAACTAATTAATATTTTCATAAACAGCTGAATTTAAATATAAGAGTGCAGTCCTAGGAATGTATCTGTAAATAGATTGCCCAGGAAGATATAATGTATCAAAATTATCCTGTGGTAAGATGAGCACTCAATAAAATTAATAATAATTTTTTTAAAAAATTTAAAAATATTTCCAGATAACCAAACATATGCTGAAAAATTAGGAAGAAAATGTACATTATATTGAAACATCTATAGTTTAAAACTAGTTAAGATAAGTTCTAATATTTAAAGTTTATTTGATAATGAACTGTGTATCAGAACTTCAGATATAAAACAAATAGGAATTTTAATTAGAAATTTAAAAAATCACCCTAAAGAATTGTGTATTGATTATGGAATAAAAGGAGTTAAAGTCTGGGAATTCATGAATTAT